GCCAAAATTTGGCGGAAGAATAATAAACTAGAAAATTCCAGGGAAATTTTGAAGTGCACAGCGGGCTACTGCCAGGATGAGTACAATGATTTATTTCCAGTGTTTCAAAAGTCACCCTGATCATATTCTGGTTTTGAGAAATGTCTTGATATAAAAGACTCTGATATAAAACAATGTCACATCCCTCCATCATGTGTTATGTGGGAAATATCTCATATTCTGTGTTGTTTTTTTTAATAAAACAAGAGGCAACATGTCTTCAAACTGGCATTTTTAAAGGGTTAAAATCCTGAAAACTAATAAACATTTGGTAGGTTTGAGCAGAACTGAAGTGGTTTTAGAGATGTAGCGAAAAAAAGCAGAAAAAAATATTGATATATGATGATTTTATAGCATTTTCTTTGTGTGTGTCCTTTTTTGGACGCGAGGAACCCCAGAGGGTACAAAAATGTGTTACCAGTGTATAATAGACCTGTAACAGTAACTGACATTAGATTTTAAAAATTATGTCAAAAAAGACACTTTCTTGCAGAAATCCATACCTTCAGCTGTAAACACGCCAAAAATGATACAGCAAATCAAAAAAGAAAAGTGAACGAAAATGTCCAAAAAAGGACAGAGGACGCCCTGAGGTTAATAAATCCCATGAAACCGCTATTTAAATCACCACTATTAATGTTTTTTTCGGTGCTAAATTTAACATTACTGGGGAGGGAGGCAACGCGACTAGAAAGTGACAGCGAGAGAGGGCTAGTAGCTTCTCCTCTCCTCTGTGTCAGCGGAGACCGTCACAACTTCATTCACTCATTTAACAAAACAAAAGAAAAGCAACAAAGGAAGCAGTAATGGACTTACATATTTAAGACCTAACTAAATGTAATTTAAGACCTAACATGCGGCTTAAAGTAAAGCTAGCGGAGCTTGGAGAGTTGGTTATTCTGTTTGCTAGGCACGCACACACGCACACAGGTCAGGAGCTGCCGTTGCCATGGCAATGTGAAAATCTGCCCAGAATTTGGCTTTCTACATGGCCTTAAAACAATTGCAAATTATGAGAAACCGTTACTTCTTTTCAAAAACCGAAAACACCATGACAGACACGGAAGCCAGAGTTTCTTACAGTCTTTATTTTATTCAGATATTCCTTAAAATGAGTGAGTAAGCTCAGTGCGAAGACAGAGTGAGAATTCTTTTGAAAAAAAAAGACGATTACATTAGTGTCAATGAGACGTGAGACTGGTATTGCTTGCTGGACTCGGCACCCCCGTTTAAATTTTGAGCAGACTTCCTGTCAAAGTTTACATTTATGAAATCCCAACAACTTGTCTACATTTTGAGAAGAATTATTTGTCTCCTTTTTACGGTTTGGCCGTGAGCTCGAGTTAAAAATAAAAATAAAGTTATTTTTTACTGCTTCATGCACTCTAGCCAACTGACGCTGTCACTCTAACTTTGAAGAAAAAGTGATTTCCACTCCTCCTTTGAGTGCTCATAGTTTGAAAAAGTTTACATCTTATGTAAAAACAGTTTGCTAGTTTTGGAGAGAGAGCAGAAGTTTTCCTCCGTTTTATAGTTTGAATCACATTTCTACGTGCAGGTATGAGAGAGCTAGGTGACTCAGAAAAAAGGTGAAATTTGAAGAAAAAGGTGAAATTTTGTGGAGTTTTTAAAAGAAAATTCCAATGCATTCCTAATTGCATTATTATTCCCGTATTTTGGGAAAAAAGCCAAATTCTTGGCAGATTTTCACATTGCCATGGCAACTGCAGCTCCTGACCTGTGTGGTGTGTGCGTGCCTAGCAAACAGATAACCAACTCTCCAAGCTCCGCTAGCTTTACATTAGCCGCATGTTAGGTCTTAAATTACATTTAGTTAGGTCTTAAATATGTAAGTCCATTTACTGCTTCCTTTGTTGCTTTTCTTTTTGTTTTGTTAAATGAGTGAATGAAGTTGTGACGGTCTCCGCTGACACAGAGGAGAGGAGAAGCTACTAGCCCTCTCTCGCTGTCACTTCTAGTCGCGTTGCTCTCCTCCCCAGTAATGTTAAATTTAGCACCGAAAAAAACATAATAGTGGTAATTTAAATAGCGGTTCATGGGATTTATTAACCCTCAGGGGTCCCTCTGTCCTTTTTTGGACATTTTCTTCACTTTTCTTTTTTGATTTGCTGATCATTTTGGCTGTGTTACAGCTGAAGGTATGGATTTCTGCAAGAAAGTGTCTTTTTTGACATATTTTTAAAATCTAATGTCAGTTACTGTTACAGGTCTATTATACACTGGTAACACATTTTGTACCCTCTGGGCTTCCTCGCGTCCAAAAAAGGACACACAAAGAAAATGCTATAAAATCATTATTTTTCTGCTTTTTTTCGCATACATCTCTAAAACCACTTCAGTTCTGCTCAAACCTACCAAATGTTTATTAGTTTTCAGGATTTTAACCCTTTAAATGCCAGTTTGAAGACATGTTGCCTCTTGTTTTATTAAAAAAAACAACACAGAACATGAGATATTTCCCACATAATACATGATGGAGGGATGAGTCTTTTATATCAAGACATTTCTCAAAACCAGAATATTATCAGGGTGACTTTTGAACACTGGAAATAAATCATGTACTCATCCCGGCAGTAGCCCCTGTGGCACTCAAAATTTCCCTGGAATTTTCTAGTTATAAATCTCATTTTTAAACATTTCAGTCAGACTGACTCATCAGACATCAACTACTTCACTCCTCTTTTCTGTCTCTCCTCTTTGCAGCAGAAACAGTCTGACATTAACTTTAACTGTTTTATCTGCTTCACATGTTCATAACAGTTTGTTCATCATTAGACTGAAGAGCAAAAATACTAGTAAGAAACTTACAATATATCCTTAATCTGACTTTAATAGTTATTAAAGTTGAACTTGCATTCACTGATTTATTTAACAAGCAAACAAAGGCTTCCAAGCTGATGAGGTACTCCAGGGTCAAAAGGCAGCAAGGCAGTCCAAAAATGGCAAAAAGCAAAGACAGGTATTAAAACTACAACATGGACAGTAATTTCAAAATAAAACAGGAAACATTAAACAGAGTCCAGGTACAAAGTTTACAAGGAGGAGCATATCATGACAATATTGATTTATTTTGTCTCACAGGAACGTATCTGTGATGAACATGTTAGTCTAAATGAATCCACTCTGACAATCACCTGAACTCAGTCGAAAGCCTTGCTCTTGTTCTTAGTGTTTCACATCCAACCTGGGAAACATTACAACCAATTCTATTTATTCTAGTGAACCACTTGTTGGTCCTTGACTCTATCTGGATTCTCAGTACAGATAAAGTCACTATAGTGGGTGATTTGAATATTCATGAATTAATATTAGTAATGTGTATAGTATCTCATTATTAGACTCTTCTCTCAGAGTGTAAATAAACCCACAGTGTTTTGAATCAAGGTTGAACATTTAATAGTCTTTCCATAGAGTCAGTGTTATCAGAACATTATTTAATAACTTTTCAATTGCTATGCTTTGCGACATGTCTTCAATAGATGTCCATGTGATAGAGCTGTAGCTAATTGTAAGGAAATGATCCATCAGCACTTCATTAAGTCTCAATATACCAGACTCCTAACTTTAGTCCCTTCATGTTGATCATGCTGCAGACTCACTGTGAATGACACTCCACTCTATGACAGGAAAATTAAACAAGGAGGACTGATGGAAATTTGAAAATGAAAAGTTATCAAGATGATCAAGTTGTCTTTGTATATTTTAATAAGAGCTTTGCAAAGGATCAGTGTACAGCGTCAACAGAGTGTAATTGCAGACTGATATCGAACAAAGAGTGTACATTAACTTTATAGGAAGAGGAAAGAAGGAGGCATGGTCAGGATGTGTATGTGAACAATTCTGGGTGCCCTCAAAACTGTCTAACTGTCGAAAAGAAGCAGCTGCGTGTTCAAGGACAAGGACCCCTTAATTTGTGCCAGACAGTACCAGATAAGGAGTGTGCATGTGAGGACAGATTCATGTCCAAGGTTATACAAAGCCAGATCATACTAAGTGCAAAACCAGGTTATACAAAGTACAGAATATGATTTTTCTATTACAGAGGCTAGTTATTTATAAGACTGTGATGACTTCATGAGCTCCTGTAATGATAAAATTCACCACTTCCTTGGCCAAACCTAACACTATCTACACATCAACATATGGAGTGTAGCTGAATGATAAGCACATACTGCCCCACCTCCACCAGTACAGTTATATGATTCAGATTCTTCCATCAGTCACCCACACATACGCACACATGCATGCACGCACGCACGCACGCACGCACACACACACACTGATCGATTGGCTCAGGCTCGATGTGCACCATCCTGTAGTTATGCAGCTAAGGCCTAGAGTGCTGGGGGGCTTCGCATTGTGCACTGAGCTCTTCTCCAATATCTGACCAAACTCTTTGTGGTCAAAGCGCACTGTGGGTAATGCATTCACAAGGTTTAGACACGGAACATGATTGTGTGAAATAAAAAAAGACTCCTGTTCTGCTGCATTGAAAGTGCATCACAAAATGAGTGACTGATTAATCTTTAACTATTGGTTAATGTGTTGGCAAACAACAGCTTATTTACATCCAGCTGTTGCTGAGCTGAATCAAAACACAGGTTGAAAGACTCAGGAGAGTTGAGAGGGACTGCAGAGCTGAGTGATAATTCTCTGTATATAATATAATATTATTTTGTGTAGCTTTATGGTTTAAACTGATGTTTCTCCTCTCTATGATAGTGTAGTGAATAAACACTGATCTTTGGATTTTTGTAAAATAATAGAACAGTGAATAACCTCATCACTGGTATTGTGATTGAAAACTAACTGGTTATTTGTACAGTTAGACTTCCTTTTCCTTTCACTCATAAAGAATTTTCCTCTCCTGTCTCCTGTCTCCTCTCTCTTGTTTCCTCTCTTCTGTCTCCTCTCCTCCCGTCTTTCCGCTGTCCTTGTAGGTACCAGTCTACTCCAGGAGGTTGTGTATTTAGTGAGCCAGGGAGCAGATCCAGATGAAATTGGCCTTATGAACATCGATGAGCAACTGCCTGTCTTAGAGTATCCCCAGCCCGGCCTGGACATCATACAGGTACAGTACTGGAGCTGAGATCAGGCTACAGTTCATTTAGCAGATTCAATCATTATAGGACTGCAGGAGGACTGAGCTGGTGGGGGCTAACTCAGCAACATTTTTCACACACACTGCATTGTAGTGTTTACTGCAACTAGGATGAGGCTATGAGCAATGCATGGGAAAATGTTAGTGTCAGTCTGGAAATCCTCTGTCTCTGCTAACATCTCCTTAAAGTCTTCCAGAATGTAATATTTTGAATATTTTTGAAAAGAATAAAAAGTAGCAAACTTGTAAAACACCAAATTGATACCATTATCTTCTCCTGTAACTGATTCTACACTTTAATGTCAAATTATTTGTAAAGGGGAAAACAGCCTCACCGGGGGCTTTCAAAAGACTAAACAAAAATAAATTCCTCATCAGGGGTATGTCAGTTTATGCTGGGAGACTACAGATTTATAAGAGTCAGGATGCTTCATGAGAACACCGTGCCTGTGATGGATGACAGACTATGATGACCAATACTGTGGTAACACCTAACATCTTTTCCAAGTCCTTACCAGATAAAATGACCCTTAATACTTGACTTGAGACTGTGTTCCAGACTTCAGTTTGTATGAACACCACATACGGAACGGCATACACAGTATTTTGACATTTGGAATCTTTCAACACTGTATGATATAGTAACTATACAGTTCTGTAGGATGATGTATGTTTGTAGCCCAGCCCTGAGCCAAATCCAATGGAATTTTTCCATTGTGTTTTGAATTATTACAGAAAATAAACAACATTTTATGATCCTGACAGGTTTTGTTCAGCAGCATCATCTTCACTAATAAACACCACTTTATGATGTTTGAAACCAGAAGTAAAAAGGCTATAAACCAACTACACCACAGTCACATGACTTCAACGTCACCACCACTAAACTTCAACTTATAGTGTGATTTAGCTCTGACCTCCTTTTCTTCTTACAAAGTTAGTAATAGCTTGTATAAACACAACAAGGCTGTAAAGGTGGACTGGTGAGTAGATTGTTTTCATGTTTAACGTGACGATGTTAAATGTACCCGACAACCTCTGTAGTCTCATTTAGACACTTGATAGCAACCGACCTTTTTTACCAGACTGGACTATTTACTAACTGGTTTTATGTTGTACATGAAAATGTCTTGAGCTTGTGTTAACCACGGACCTTATTTCAATTATCTAACTAAAAACACATTCAACAAACCCAGAGACTTCAGGGCCACGGAACAGGAAGTGCTATATGCAATAAATTTCTGGGTTTAGTACTCATTCCTGCAGAACTGGCATAAGAGACAACATCAACAAAGTATGTTTTTAAACTGTAGAATCACATTTTCTATTTGTAGGTATAGATTGAACTGGATATGGATTGTTCATATCATGGAAATCCACCCATATACATAGACTACTCTGCTGACAGACACGTAAACAGGACATGTTTTCCAAAAAACAGAGGTACACATCATATATATGAGTCTTTGAGCTGATAAGATAAGACACACCTGGCAGCACCACAGAATTTCTGCAGCACTGATAAGAGAACAGCAGAAATACAGATTAAAAAATCTTTTTTTCCACAGGAGCTCACATCCCCTCGTCTGATCAAAAGCCATCTTCCCTACCGGTTCCTACCCACAGCCATGCACAATGGAGAGGCCAAGGTTTGAAGTTTTCATTGAATTAAGATGCTATTGTAAAAGTTTTATTCTGAGGGAGGTGTGACTTTGTCACAAACTGTGCCCTGAATTTGATAAAATTTAATTTTGTAATATTAGCTTAGACAGAAGAGTGAAGTCACACACACAAAACTGGAATCAGCTGTTTCATTTTATTATTTGATTTTCATCTATCACAAAACTGAGACATTGAGGGGTAAAATTAATGAATCAATTATTAATGAATCATTGAATAATATAACCTATACATAAATGTCAGTATATATACACTGCTCAAAAAAATTAAGGGAATACTTAATCATCACAGTATAACACTGTTGGGTCTGAGCTCTACCTCATGAGCTGGACACCAAATATGTTGGATTTCGGTTGTCTATGAATTTATTGGCTATCATAAATTAATAAAATATTAATATTAAAAATATTAATAGTAAATAACAACTTTGAAATTAATTAAAGTCCTCAGAGCACCAGCCTAAACTAATAGGCAAAATAGCCAATATGGTTTCAATCTCAATTTATTACCATTAATTTGGAACTCTGATTAACCATTAGCTTACTAACTATAACCAAAATACCATATCAACAGTAAGTTAAAGTTGAAGGATTGGAATTCTACCAAGTAGAGGTTGGCAATATTCACGCTTGTGCAACATTAAACACACCAGTAGTTATACTTAAAGGCATTTATTTACCATGGAGCAGAGTAAAACACAATGTCTAATCTAGTATATACAGGTGTGTGTATGTGTATGTGTGTGTGTTTGTGTGTGTGTTTGTGGGTACACAAACAAAGGCAAGATGGCCGATTCAAAGTGGTCACTGTGACCACATGACCTGAACAAAGAAGACTACACAAGATGGCGGTAAACAAAGAAACAACTCAAAATGGCCGCTGGACCACCTGGGGTGTGTGAGAGGGAAGGTGTGAGTTTCTTTGTTAGCCTAGCTCATGTAATCTAAAGGTACCAGGTTAGAGGGGGGAGGTTAGCTTCATGCAGGTTCTAGAACTGAGACGTACTACTATGTGTGTGAACATACGAGTACCTGATTAACTGTATGACTGACCACAACCTAAGCAAACATTACAACAACCAGACATCAATCAACAAGTACATTAACAAAGTTAAGACTTCTGCTGCTTAGCTATGCTGTGCTGTGCTGTGCTATGCTGTGAAAGGTTAGGCCCAGTCAGTTAACGTTACCCACTCCTGGAAACAAGCAAAGAGGTCCTTTGCAGTGTTGTTGTAAAGTCCAGTGAGTTGGGAGGCTTCCTGGTGGAGTAAAGTCCTGTCTGGCTGTGTTGCTTTGCTGTTATCTCCTTTGTTCTCCTTGCAGAGTTAGCTGTTCCCCACTAACTCTGCTATGACTCCTGTTACTTGGAAAATCAGCTGGCCTTGTGTCGTAGCTGCTGATTCTGAAGAGAATTTGGTTCACTCTCAGTTAATCCGAAGCAGGTCGCTGCTGTTGAGGAGAAGAGTGTTGCAGGCTGCTGTGAGCAGGCCGGCGAGAGAGCTGGTTTCTCAGGTAGCAAGGCTGACCTGGGCTGGGGACTTGTTGCCCTTTGAAGAGCTGAGAGGAGAGAGAGCAGGAGCTGCTCTCCAGAGCAAGCCAAGAAGAGAAGAGAGAGAGAAGAGGGCCAGAGATCTGGTTTTGTTTGGTGACACCCTTGGGGGTTACATGTCACACGCTGACCCACACTGGCTGGCCAGTAAGGTCCGTGGGGGGAAGGGTCGTCCCCAGGTCTGAACGGTGAGGAACTGTGGAGTGTGAGTTCCTTTGTCCAGTGGAGCAAAGAAACATTTGGTCTCTTGAATGATGAGTCCCAACAACACCAAGTCAGTTAAACTTCAGGGATATCAATCTGTCCATTTAGGAAGCACAAATGAATAAATTTCCCCTGCTTTGGTGCAAATGAAACTGACAACAGGTGCAATGGAGAGACAAAAGCAAGACAACCCCCAAAAAGGGAAGAAGGTCCGCTACTCACTTCACAGATGAGAGCAGCTTCACAGTGAGCACATGTGACAGGTGTGAAAAAGTCTGGAGATGACTTGGTGAACGTTATGCTGCCTGTACTGTCATCCAGCATGAGCAGTTTGGCAGTGGGTCAGTTATGGTCTGGGGAGGCATATCCTTGGAGGGTTGCACAGACCACCATGTCATAACCAACAGTACCCTGACTGCTGTTAGGTACCAGGATGAAATCCTCAGAGCGATTGTCAGACCTGACGCTGATGAAGTGGGCCCTGGGTTCCTACTGGTGCAGGACAATGCCCGGCCTTATGAGGCCAGAGTGTGTCGGCAGTTCCTGGATGATGAAGGCATTGATGCCATTGACTGGCCCTCAGGATCCCCTGACTTAAAACCAATTGAGCACCTATGGGACATATGTAGCGGTGCATCCAACGCTGTCAAGTACCACCACAGACTGTCCAGAAGCTCACTGACGCCCTGATCCAGGTCTGGGAGGAGATCTCCCAGGACACCATCCGCGACTCATCAGGAGCATGCCCACACGTTGTCAGGAGTGCATATAGGCACGTGGGAGCATATATATATATACTATATATACTGACATGTCCTGACAACTGACATTAACCCGTGACTGGTATTTACAGAAGATTTGTGAGAACATTTAGAAATAAGAATAAAAAGTCAATAATGTCAAAACCTGTTTTGTTTCTAAAACAAGTTTAGAAATAAAATTTTTGCTGTCAGGAGAAGAAAAAAAAGGGACATTATAACTTGAAATTTCTTGCTATTGCTTTGCTGAAACATTGTTTCTGTCACCATTTGCTATGACAGCTTACTCAACTTTCTAATGTGCCACATTTCTGGAATTGTTGATTAACTAAAATCTAATGACATATATGTCATATATTACATTTATATATCTGGTTCAAGCAGCTCTCACATCTGTACAGTTTAACATAGTTGCCTAGTAGCCTCTAATATGCAGCAGTGTTTACATGACATCAAGAGTCACTCATAGGCAAATCTAATATATGTACATATATTGAGTTTCCATATATGAAATAAATTGTAAAATAAAAACATATGTAAAAATATGTAAACATATGTAAATAAAAAGTCTGAGACCACTTTGCCAGAATGAACTTGCATATATAAATTAAATATATATTGTTAAAAAATATGGTCACAACATGTTATACCATATAAAAGTTCCTCATATAGATATTTTGTACGTACAGTATGTACTGTATGTGTTATGAACATACAGTATATCTTCATATCCAGAGGATGTATATATGTGATAATAATATAACCCCTTATAGTGACATCACTCTTGATAAAGAGACATATACCTATGTCATGTATTACATTTCACAGCACTGGCATTCTGTATCTGACCATAGTAAGTACTGTGGTTTCTTCCAGGTGATCTACATGGCTCGGAACCCCAAGGACCTGGTGGTGTCTTACTACCAGTTCCACCGCTCTCTCAGGACCATGAGCTACCGGGGAACCTTCCAGGAGTTCTGTCGGCGCTTCATGAATGACAAGTGTAAGTCTGGTCCAGTGACCAACTCCCGTCCTGTTGTGTCTTTGTGCACAGACTACTGTACGTTCATCCAGCATCTCTCTCTCTCTCTCTCTCACAGTGGGATATGGTTCCTGGTTTGAACATGTGCAGGAATTCTGGGAGCATCGTATGGACTCTAATGTCCTCTTCTTGAAATATGAAGACATGTACAAGGTAAGTTTACCAGTGTCTCCTTTTTCAGCCTCTGTCTGCAAACTCTTATTCATCCCAGCAGTCTGTGAAGATGTGACTGTTTGGTGTAATTTAGATAAGAAAAGGGAGTCAGGTCAGTGGAGCTGCTCTACTGATACTGATACTGATGTACTGTGCTGCTGTGTTACATTTTAACCTCTTTCCACACTGAATGGACTTTAATATATATGTATATATATGTATATATATATATATATATAAAATACCCTTTGCTCCTGTCATAATTACTACGACCACTAGATGTCGCCTAACAACAAAATGTAACTATGGGTTGTAATAAGCTGCTGCACAAATGACCTGTGAGCTAATTTTTCACAGGAGGACAGCCTCCATTTTATAGATGACTGGGGTATGAATAAAAACTGTAATTACCATAACTGAAGCTTGCAGATGATGAATCACCTCATCTGATAATAATTTCAAATTGTCATTAACTTGTTAAGATGCAGGAAAATCTCCCTGCTTATTAAGAGGTGTAAGTATATATAGAAATGGGCATGTTAATTTAGCGGTGGTCATACATTATACATTAAAAAACACTCAAATTAAATAGAATGACACAATGGATCTAAATCAAACTTGTGGCCCAACATATGCCTGGGTCCTCAGTCCTAGTCTGGTCCATCTACTACCACATGAGGGTAAAATCTGGCTGTTATCCTCCAGTACTGACTGACAGCTGGAAGATTTCCAGAATTGGTCCAGATGTGGATGTATCATCTTAAAGTGAGTCTGTATATGGGCCAGAAGAGAACAGGCATGTGGCCCAAGTATGGGCCGGATTAATTTCGTTATCTGCACAAATCAATTATGTTTGTATTAGCAATGTATTTGTGACTGTGTGGAATGAGTCACACACCCACAGAGAAATATAATCTGGCTGCAGTTTGCCACAGTTGTTTTTTTTTTTTTTAATCACACTCAGCCTCAACTTTGGATGATTAGCCAATATTATTATCCCAATATGCTAAACAAAGATAGTGGGCATGGTAAATAGTGTACTTACTAAGCATATCCATGTTGGCATTGTTTTGTGATTATGTTTTTGTGTTTTTTTATTATTTATTATTTATATGATTTTTTTCTTCTTTTTCTTCTTCTTTGTTTTGACAGACTGTACTGGAGAGAGAGTTTACCATCATTTGTGTAACACCTTTGGGTCGCTATCTCTTGCCTGGCCTATTTTGGACACACAGACACACACACCCTTATGCAATGCAAACATATGTACATGTAACCCAGGGCTGTAAAATGATAGCCACTATGTGCAACTGTTCCTACATGACATATATTCCATACAGAGCTGTACATTTTGTCCTTTCTTTTACCTTTATACCACGCAGATTGTTTAAGAACAGGGAACTGTATGTTCTCTACAGCTGTGGGTGGATGCTGTTTGAGGAAACACAATCACTGACTCAGTGTTATTCAAAGGCACAAAAGGAAGACACATTTCTGTCTCTGTTGTTATGATTATTGCTTTCATAGATTTCCCATTGTCATAAATCCTCCTCTCCTCTCCTCTCCTCTCCAGGATCTAGGGACGTTGGTGGAGCAGTTGGCCCGATTCCTGGGTGTGTCATGTGACAAGGCTCAGCTGGAGGGCATGGTGGAGAGCTGTAACCAGCTCATCGAGCAGTGCTGCAACTCGGAGGCGCTGTCCATTTGCAGGGGTGAGTGGGAAAGGAAATAGACAAGGACAAATATGACGCTGCTCCGTTCATAACTAACTAGGCAGAGTTTAGAGTTTCTGGGTGAAAGGGCTTTTACTGTAGCTGCACTGACACTGTGGAGTAGCTTACTATCTCCAAAACATCAGATCCACCTAATGTGTCTTCATGTGTCTCACCTTCACTGCATCTGTCGGTTTTTTCTTTTGATTTTACAGTTAGTGTCCCATGACCTAGCCTGAATTTTGCCCCAGTTATTTCCTAAAACATGGTTAATCATCACAATGGCTTTTAAGCATTTAAAATTGAATCAGTTTCGTAATTCTTTTTCGGCAAAACACTAAATAAGTCAGGGTGCATTATAGAAAAGTGAAATCATCTTGACTTTTTAAGTCAGATTAAAGGTCTATTCCACGGATTTGATAATGTTTTTCCACAAAACTGAGAAAACTGAAAATGGAACCAACTTTGGCCAGGGAATCCTGACTTCTAGAGTCAACCTCCATAAATATATGTTCATGATGTGTTCATCTGTCCAATGTGAATGCTACTTAACCTTATTATATAACCTTATTTCATTAAACGAGAACTCCACTAAAACCTGGTGCCCACATTACCCACAATGCAGCTTGTCTGCAGACAGTTTGGTTTTGTGTGTAATGCTGGTGGAGATGAGGAGTGGAGCTCTGTGGTGTTCTTATCTCTTACTCCAGTAAAAGTAGAAATAGTCTAAAATACTTGATCACAGGTAAAAGTCCTGAATTCAAAATGTTACTAAAGTAAAAAATACTCAATATGCAGAATGACTCCTCTCAGTAAATCATATTATTGTACATGGTTATGGAAGAATGTGTGTAAATAGCTTATTTTTCATTTATTTTTTACAATTTTACAGAACAGGACATAAAACACCAAGAAACAAAGTTTGCTTTTCCATCCACCACCTCGAAAAATATCGTTGCATAGAGGGAAACATAACACTAACAATGGTGTCTCCCTAAAAGAGGTCTGTGGTTGACCATAAATGGATCATCATGGTGAAAGTGAAAGTTGTTGTATCCTTTTCTTGAACCATATATCATTATGTAAACTATATGTGTTCATTTCCAACAACCATCCTTCAGTGAGGAGAGGGGAATCACAATTCAATGTCACTGCATTTCCTGATCACACACAGAGCACATTACATTACATAAATGTAATTTGAGAATGAGTCGATGAATTTTTGATGTTTGTGAAATTCCCAGGTGAGCAACTTTAAGACATCTGGAGCATATTTCTCACAGTTCTGTTCAGTGAGTTACAGCTGATGGAGACAGTTATAATGAACTAGTCTCTACCTATTGCAGTAATAGTTGCTGATACACTGTCTTGACATAAATCTGACCAGTTACTCATCTGGCTCTGGATTTGTGTAAACCTGTCTGTGGGCCATCATTAAGCAGTGAGGAACACTTTTCAATTAGTTCACATTTCCCTCATGAGTAGTCTCTTCATTTAAGAGTCACAGAGGACATCATAAAACTATTTCAGGTGAGTTGCTTCATGACAAGTAAAATTAAATATTTGGTGAAGTGGCCGTTTAATGACCATAAAAAAAAAAAGCCAGTCAATTAAGAACAAACAGACCCAAAAAAGAAAAAACAAACACCACAAGTATAAAGTTGAAGACTTGCATAAAATAAAATATTTTTTCAGTTTGTGTGCATTTTACAAACAGAAAAGACACAACCAGTCCTTTGTCAAACAAGTAAGAAGCAAGAAACAGTACAAGGAAAACATGCAGCTTTAGGACAGAGACTTCCATCAGCAACATGTACAATTCCTGGTAGAAGAGTGGATGAAAACATTAGCGGGATAAACGACACACGCACATTAGAGAGACAGAACGATGCACCCAGCAGAGGAGAGAGCATGAATGTAATGAACTTCTTCCTCTTTTAGAGCCATTTTATCAGACCTGATTCATATCAGTGATCTAATGATATGGAATGAGCCATCGGACCTTCTCTTGCAAAGTTGTTTAAAGACCAGGGAAGCAGAGAAAATTCCATCTTAACAGATTTAAGTCAGGACTCTTATTAGACCAAAAGGACACAGGGAAGAAACTAGCCAGCTCGGACTGAATGAGAGCTGATAGATGACCAGCAAAACTACAGCCTGAAAACTGTCAAGCAAGTTCACCTCTGGGTGTAGGTAGTCCTGCAGTTTCCAGTTTTCAAGATTCTGGAACTGTCTCAAACACAGAACAATGGAGGTGATTTCCCTTCGGTGATTACAGCATTGAAAAATTATATTGTGTACAAAAAAAAAAACCAAACAAACAAACAAACAAACAAAAAAACAAAACAAAAACAGCAACTTCCAAAACTGTCATTTTCAATCCACAGAACACAGTAGTTTTCAAGTCTACTGAAGAAGTCCTGGTTATCACAGTAGTCCAGGTGACAAAGTGATGTGGCACCAGATAGTGCTGTGGAGACAGTCTTTCTGTGGGGCTCTAAAACACGTCACCTGTCAATGTCTTGATTATGAACCAGCCGAGATAATGCACACAGGTGGATATTAGGGGTAGAGGAAGGGGTCCGGGGCTGGAGAGCCATGGGTCAGGTGAGTGGAGCGAGGTGACTGAGCACACACACACACAAAGGTAAAAGTTTGTGGACCTGAAGGCTGGGGCTGGCGGTGCCGTGGTTTAGGGAGCAGGCTGGAGACGTCGTCGAAGGAGCAGGAGGATCAGAACCAGGTGAGCAGTCAGCGGGGCAGACAAACCAGGAAGGAGTAGGCAGGTGGGTAATCAAAGCCAGACGAAGGATCAGGAAGGCACTCACGTTGCGACATCAGAGCTGGAGAAAACAGCCACAGGGACAGGCAGACGGGGACCAGGAAGCGCACAGGCAGAACTCGTGGTCGGGGACAGAATGCTGAGGCAGGATGGTCAGGGACGAGCAGAGTCGATAACGGGAAGTTAGTCCGGAAGATGAACGTTAGAAGGTCTTGCATGGATACTAAGAACAATCTGACAAAGAGTGAGTGAACTGAGGATGCATATACTGTATACTGGCTTGATTGGAGATGGAGTGCAGCGAGGGGCAACAGGTGAGGACAGTGAGGCTGATGGGGAGGTGTGGCAGAGTGGAGAGTGAGACAGAGGCAAGGTGAGTGGAAAAACACTGAGAAGCAGAGCAGGCTGTGACAGGAGTGGAGCACAGAGCACCTGATGCCCCTGCTTTGCCCTGGGTTTCGCCCCTCATGCTTCGTACATCTGACAGGCTAATTACATTTTTTAGTTATTTCCTAATTGTTCTGATGATCACAGAGAGGCCATATGTAGCAGTAAGCTTTAAGTGGTAACACACCATATCAAACCCAGGACTCACATGGTATATACTCTACCTAATAAGCTACCAGGGCACCTTTATTATTTTTATTTTTATTATTTATTTCATCATATGACTGGCACATATGCTTGTCATGAATTTGCATCTATGTTCTACAGAGATGGATGTACAGTCATACAGGGATATGTCTGAATGAGCCACATGCTGTGCAGCTGCTGGTCAGACTCAGTGCAGAGAGAAGCTGCTGTTGAATCTTTACATGTCATTTTTCAATGCTATAAACATCACAAACTTAACTGTATTCAGGTGGAGGGAAAAATCTCACAAACTAAAAACCTTTCTTTTGTAACTTGGTTGAACAACTCTCAAATAGACTTAAAAAAGTCAAGCAGGAACACGTTATTTTATAGATCTTCAATTCCTGAATTCCTGAAGGAAGTTTACTGGAAAAAATTTAACACTAAAACTAAGACAGTGTTAACATGTTGCCTGTTAACTGCTGCTTATATACTCTATATTCTACAAAATTACACAGTTCTTTCTAAGAAACAAATATTAACTAATGAACCCATAAATGAAAACATTACTGAATGGTTACCATACTGTGTTGTACATGGTTCTTATCCTGCTAAAGGCTGTAGGGATCAGTGATTTTATGTGGAGTTATCTTTTTTGACTGAGCATAACAGTGTGTGTCCACTGCATGGAAACTCTACCTAATAATACAGTATACTGTTCATGCCTCACCTGCTCTCTCATACCACATATACTATAACAGGATTATAATGGGGTCAGGGTTAGAGCGACAGAAACAGAGAGAGGAGACGTTTTTCCCTGAAAGGTGAGGGAGTGTCATGACTACATTAGGATCTGAGAGCAGCAGTGATTAGTTTTTACTTATGAATAGAATCATAGTGAAAATAAATGATTCCCCTTTTTGCTGTGGACCCCCAGGAACCCCCTCAAGAACCCATAGGGCTCCCTGGAACCCACTTTGATAACCACTGATCTACAATTGATCTGGAAGCTCTGTACATGAGTTTAAGATAATTGTAGCACCACCATGTGGCTACATGTTGCATCTAGACCACAGGAGAGAGGTATATACACCACCAAATGTCAAGATTTTTGATGGATGACCCCCTATTGTCTAGAGGTCATCAAGGTTATGCTAATGAGGGGGGTGGGCGTGCGAATGTAATGTTAATGTAGTAGACATTCCCGGGGGGGTATGTTAAAGATGTGTACTGATGTATGAGGGGGTTATGTATAATACCTTTATGAAACTTTAAATGGTTGAATGGGTTTAAAGGAATAGGTCATCACGCATCTATATTCACAAGCAACAAGTCTTGATGACTATGCATGAGAAACGTAAGTTCTTAAAGCATGTTACTTTATGAGTTCTCCCCCTCCCTCTCCATCTTTCTGTCACTCACACACACAGACACAGACACAGACACGGCTGTGAGTCCTCCCCCTCCCTCTACGTCACTCTCTCTCTCACACACACACACACACACACACAACCCACACACACACACCGACCAAAGGTCCACCAATATATGCAGATACAAACTGACGGCTGTTGGTTTTAAGATCAGTAGAACCGGACCCAGAGTCAGAAATGGACGTAGCAGACTGATATTACAAGTCCCTGTG